CTTGTTTCCAGTCCTTCCCATTCCGCCCCGTTGCCCCAAGGCATTTATAAGCTACAAGTTGGAGCAAGGCTTGAAATTTTAGTGACAATCCAGCTGAATGTGTGTGTGTGTGTGTGTGTGTGTGAGAGAGAGAGAGAGAGAGAGAGTGTGTGTCATTTAGCAATTGCTTTAAAAAACAAAAATCAGAATCCCCCCCCCCCCAATAATCTGTCCAGAGAGAGGCAGATCCTGAAAGAAAACGGGCATTTGGGCAGACCGTATTAGGAAGATGGCGAGGATGACGATTGGTTTTGTGGCACAGTCTGCCAGATGTTCAGGCTAGATTTGGCATGTTGTTACCCACCAATCCCGCCTCCTTCCCAAGGACCTGGGATAAACAGATGTGGATGCTGGATGGTACTTAAAGAGTCCCACGCCAGGATGTCGGCTGATGTGGAGTCAAGATGCCTTCTGCAATTGACCCGACGGGGAATCGGTCAATGCCAGAGAGAGTGTTCAGCGCTCCAGATGTTTCGGGGGGGAAAGCATCGAAAGAGTCTATTATTAGGGGTAATATTTAGGGATTTGTGGAGAGACAGGTGGCAAACAAATTTAAATAATAATGATAATAATATTGCAGACAAGAAAAAAAAAAGTCTGCTTCCTTTATAACAGGGGTAGTCAACCTTGGCTCTTTTATGACTCGTGGACTTCAACTCCCAGAATTCCTGAGCCAGCTGTGCTGGCTCAGGAATTCTGGGAGTTGAAGTCCACGAGTCATAAAAGAGCCAAGGTTGAACTACCCCTGCTTTATAATGTCACACCCGGGTGATGCACGAGTGGAAGAGAAACAGCTAGGAAAAAATAACAAAATATCGTGATTTACACATTTGAAGTGGAGCAACTGTGGGGGGGAAGACATCAGTGGTGTCGAAACCAATAGTGACAGGACATGTTTCGTTGGTTGTGTGGTTCTTTCCCCCTCTTTTTGTGCGCGCGTTTTCAATAGTTTGGTGTTTCGCGTTTTGACTTCCCTCCAACGAGCTAAGGAAGGATGCGAGCGGCAGCAGATGTCCCGAAGGTGGACGGAAGATGGACAGGCCCTGTCATGCACACACGCACGCACAGACACACACACACACACAAACACACAGACCGCAAAAGCAAGCAGGCCTTTTTCTCACCTCCTAGAGCGCCGCAGTTGGGCGAGAGCTGCCCGCTGGAACAGGTGCACATGTTCGGCCGCGAGCAGAAGCCGTCGCCGCAGGAATTCCGGCAAATGGCTGTCGGCAAAGGAGAAGGACTTGAGGGAATGGGGGAATTGGGGGGGGGGTTCGAGATGGTCCCAGCCCGGAGCTTCCCCCCCCCCCGGAGCCAAGGCTGGGCTTGAGTGCGAGAGGAAGCCCGGCGGGCACGCAGGTCGGTCTGGGATGGTTGAAGATGGAGGAGGCGACGTCGTCTCCCGTTGAAGGTGTGTTGTTCCCCAAAGGCTCCTTTCCCCACAACTCCCCGGAACGGCCACGGGTCCATCCGCACGGTGGTTCCGGGGAGAGCGGGAAAGCAGCTCTGCAAATGCCCTGGTCCTTTCCTTCCCTTTCCTCTTCCTCTTCCTCTTCCTTCCCTGCTCTCTTCCTTTCCTTTCCTTTCCTTTCCTTTCCTTTCCTTTCCTTTCCTTTCCCTTCCTTAATTCTCCTTCCCTTCCCTTTTCTTTCCTTCCCTTCCCTTCTCTCTTCCTTTCCTTTCCTTTCCCTTCCTTAATTCTCCTTTCCTTTCCTTTCCCTTTCTTTCCTTTCCTTCCCTTCCTTTCTTTTCCCTTCCTTTCCTTTCCTTTTCCTTCCTTCCCTTCCCTTCCTTTCCTTTCCTTTCCTTTCCCTTCCTTAATTCTCCTTCCCTTCCCTTTCCCTTTCTTTCCTTTCCTTCCCTTCCTTTCTTTTCCCTTCCTTTCCTTTCCTTTTCCTTCCTTCCCTTCCCTTCTCTCTTCCTTTCCTTTCCTTTCCCTTCCTTAATTCTCCTTTCCTTTCCTTTCCCTTTCTTTCCTTTCCTTCCCTTCCTTTCTTTTCCCTTCC